GCTGGACGACGCTGGACGCTCGGACAGATGCGAGGCTCGTCCGAGTGGAAGAAGGTAGAGCCCTCCTTTGCTTCTACCTCGAGGAAGAATTCTCCTGGTGGCTTTGTCCTTAACAAGGAAAAAATATTTATGAAATTAAATGAAGATACGATTATCCGACACAAGACGATAGACTGATAGAAGATGTTGGCTAATATTTGGAGCATGTAAAATATTGTTCAGGCGAAGAGAAGAACCGGCTAAGGTCGAGTGCCCAATATGCGAAATAGACAAACCTGAGTCGTTGGCCACCTGAACCTGATCATGACCGCCGTAGCGTTTGCGGAACTGAAGACACTCCAGGTCACTAGTTAGGTGATCCGTGGTGCCGGAGTCCAGAACCCAGTGCGTGGATTTGTTGGAGGAGGTCGATACATTATATGCCGAGCGGCCATTGCCGCTGGAGTAATCTGAATGGAAGCGCTTCTTGCAGGTGTCAGCTTCGTGACCCCAATTCTTGCAAATCTGGCATCTCGGGCGCCAGCGACGATTGCTGTTGCGGCCGTTGCCGCCTCCTCCATCGCCGTTGTTATGACGGTTGTCTTGGCCGCCGTGCTGGTAGCCCTGCCCCTGTTGCTGCGGGTAGCCTCCAGCGGGGCAGACATCGGTGGCGCGACCAGTGTCGGGTGCTCGAGGACGGTTGACGGGGGCGGGAGCACCGGACCGTGCCACGGCGTTGGCCGACGAGGTCCACTCCTCATCGTCGGCCTGCTGCGACAACTACAGCGCCTCATAGTTGAGAACCATGGAGTAGAACTCAGCCAGCACGACCGGGGTGACCACGACGCTGAGCGAAGCCGCGATCGGGTTGAAGGCCTTGCCCAACCCGGTAAGCATGTAGTCGATGATCTCGTCATCAGCGAGGGGGGATCCAGCGGAGGCCATGGCGTCGGCAAGAGCCTTCACCTTGTGCATGTACTCGCTGGCAGTCATGTCGTTCTTCTTCAGCGACTGAATCTGTCGCCGGATGTGCCGAACCCCGGCACGGTTCTGCGCGCTGAACATGGCGTGGATGGAGGTCCAAGCGGCAGCAGCGGACTTGCAGCTGATCAGCTGAGACGCAATGTCCTCCGTCATGGAGGAGAGGAGCATCCCGAGGACCTTCTGGTCCTGCGTCCACCATGTTGCATACGCAGGGTTTGCCACAGTGGTGGCGGCAGCACCCGCCCCCTGGGAGATGGTTGTGGGTGGAGCAGCGACGGAGCCGTCGAGGTAGCCATGGAGAGAGGCACCGGAGAGATGCGTCATGGTGAGGGTGCGCCATAGCAGGAAGTTGCCGCGATCCAGTTGTACGCCAAGGGAAGGCGCGATGGACGAGACTGGCGCCGTCGCGGCCGGAGGCGTCACAATCGGACCGATAATGGCCAGTTGCATCGCTGCGGAAGAAGATCCAGACGCCATCGAACAAGAGCCGCGAGACCGGGCGGTGACGCGGGAACGAGCGGCGACGAGCGGCGACGCGATCGAGCGAGCGGCGATGCGAAAACGAGCGTGCGGCGCGGTTTCGACGCGAGATGCGACGGCGCGATTGGAAAAGAGGCTCTGATACCAAGTTTGATTTAGGATTGCGTGGGGCATAGGCTCCACATATCTCGTATATATATAAAAGACCAACAATACAGAGTTAGATTAGAATACGACAGGTATAAGACCGTTTCCAACAAGTATCTCACAAGGATCTAGAAGAAGCCATGGAAAACTTCTCGGAGTCGAACTTGACTGGAAAAGGAATCTATATATGGTTCGGTATACAAAGAGAAATTAAGCCACAATAAAATGGAAGTTGCACTGAATGTTTTTGAACTTGGGATGCATGGGGCTGAAAAAAGTTTCTTAGCGGAATGTGAAGTAGTTAGAAACAATCAGCATCGGAATCTTCTCCCAATCATAACAATATGCCCAACTGCTGACACCGTGGCAATGCTTTCAAAGCTCTGGTTTATGAGTTCATGCCTAATGGGATTTTGGAGACTTGGATGCATCACAATGGTGTCGTGAAAGCTAGAAAAACCTCTGGGCTTCACGAAGAGGATAAGCATAGCTCTTAACATAGCTGCTGTGTTAGAATTTTTGCATCATGACATTGGAACTCTAATCATCCATTGTGATTTGAAACTCAGTAACTTTTTCCTAGAACATGATATGATTGCTCACCCGGGAGTCTTCAGGATTGCAAGATTTTTTTTCGTGATTCAAGGTTGACATCAAGAGGAAAGTCCAGTTTGATTGGCCTGAGGGGTACCCCCAGGTATTAATACTTGCCACATACTATATTTGACGATAGCATCCAGTTTAGCAGGAAAAAAATATACTTATCATAATTGGAGCACTAATTATTGTTCTGGAGGCGGCCGCCCATCTACTTGTGGAGGTGCATATAGTTTCAGGGTTCTGCTCCTTGAGATGTTCACAGGCAAAAGACAAACAGATTCTATGTTTGAAAATGGAGTCGACATTATAAACTTCGTTGACAAGAATTTCCCACATCCAATATTTAACATCATTAATGTTCCTCTCCAAGAAGAATGCAAGGCTTATACTACTGCAGGAAAGATGGTAACAGAAAACATGGTCTACCAATGCTTACTTTCTCTCGTACAAGTAGCGCTTTCTTGCAGATGTGGGATCCCCCAAGTGAACGTATGAACATGAGACAAGATTAATATGATTCCTAGAGAGACTTTAACTTAAGATAAGATGGAACCAGATAAAAGGCCAAGTGCTCACAACAGAATCAGGGGTCTAGTTAATACACACTACAGCTTATGTGGGTACGGAGAGGTAGGCCGATAAGAAAACACCACCACACTCGAGACCATGATCTTACTAGTTGGAATAACGATACTTTTAATTTTGGATAGAAAAAACATTAGCATAAACAATGTTATCATTTATCCCGCAATGTTTTTTTAAATCTTTGAGGGGATTTCACTTTACATCCTTTTGTAGTTCCCATTTCATTTTTTAGTGGAAGTTCCCATTTCATTTCATTTTTTTACATATTTTTGTTGTGATTCCCGGACGGCCCATTGGGAATATTGAACCCGTTGTAATATGTGATACACAATTGACAAAAAAATTTGACAAATCAACAGCCAGTGATTGATTCAGTGATAAGCTCCTCCTAAATAGTTTATACACTCTAGACATTTTCTATCTAGGTATATGTATATACTAGAAACTGTTGTCAAGATATTTCCGAGAATCATACACTTTAGGGTTCCGCGTGCGCGCGCGCACACATACATACACCATATTTACGTAAGTATCACAAATTATTATTTTAATTATCTCGTTAAGGCCAAGAATGTAAAGAAAATAAAAAATGTAATCATGGACACACATTTTCAACGAAGAATATTACTACTACAACAAATAATGTTATAATATATTTTGCAAAATTTTCATCAAATTATAAATCATAAAAAATATGTCAACTATGATTATGACCGTGTAAAAAGTAAGTAAGTCTTGAATAACTATAAAAATTTAGTACAAATGGTGGCAGGGGAAGCCTTTTCTAGCTCATCTGGAAGTCTAATTTTGATAACGTTCACTCCTGCCCTCGGCCTCGGTCATATATAAGCGTACTTAATAGTTAGTACACATGGTCGGTGTGCATGTACGCATCCTCAACCGTTTGTGCTGATAGTGTCTGCCTGACTTTGTAATTTGGTAGCGCAATGTTTTTCAGTTTATTTCATATGCTTATATCATGGATATAAAGTGGTAGTTAAAAGCTAAGATATGCTCCATGATATGCCCTATCATATATGCTGCTATCTAACCTCATTGTACTATTTTCAACCATTATCTTTAACTCGTCTTTTGAATGTGCCGGTGAATAATGTCTTCGGTCTGTCAACGGACCAGTTGTCGATGTATGTGACAGCTTTTTTATTCTATAAGGGTTTCACACACACATATATATACTTATTTTCAACAATAGAGCACAGTGCAAATATGTCCCTTCAATGTGCATTAATATTTTTTTTCTTATAACTACATGTGCGATGGTAAATCTCACTTTAATTTATTTTTCACTTTTCATTTGTTCAATTACCTGCAATTTATTTACAATATACACATTACACAATCATTTCTTCTGAAAAACATGATTTTTGGTCTCTTTTAGATCTATGAACAATGTTGTTTTCTTTCGCAAAAAAAAGAACAATGTTGTTTTTTCATACATGAACGTTTTTCTTATATTCATGATCTTTCTTTTTATCCATGTGAAAGTTTTACCTTGAACATTGTGAACAATTCTCGCGATACGCGTGAACATTTATTTTTGAATTTTCGGAACTAGTTCTGTGAGGGGCGTGAAACTTTTTTCTACACTTTCGAAACAATTCTCAACACATACACGTGAACATTTCCCAAAATGTCTAAACAGATCTTGCGAGCCACATGAACTTTTTAATGAAGCGGACATTTTGTGGGACGGGGTTATATCGTTTTGGACCATAGATGTACACCCTCCGATCCATATTAATTGCGTCGGAGGGTGATTTTTGAAAATCCATCTCGAGTCATCACTATACAAACCAACAACTCAAAAGGACCATGATTTTACTATAGTTGGAGTAGCAATTCTTCTAACTTTGAATGAAAGAAAAAAGCATAAGCAATGTTACTTCCTCTGTTTCGTTATATTGCGGGACGGAGGGAGTATCATTTTACATTTTAGCCCACAGAGTTTTTTATAATCTTGTAGGGAATTTCACCTTACATCTTTTTATTGTTGCCATTTCATTTTTTTTTTGAGTGGAACTTCCCATTTCATTTCATTTCATTTTTTTACATGTTTTTGTTGTGATTCCCGAACGGCCCATTGGGCTCGTCCGTCCGTCCGTCCGTCTTGTGAAGCAGCAGCGGTGGCCGCCGCTAGCACACTCTGCTTTCTTTCTCCCCCCTCCCTCTCCAAGATCCGGTGGGCGGTCGCCGCCGCCGGCAAGATGCGGAAGCGCGACCTCGGCGTCCTCCTCCTCGCCGCCTTCGCCGTCTTCTTCTCCCTCCAGGTAACCCACCCCGCTCCCCTCCTCCTCTCTGATTCGGATCGATTCGGAACCCTAGCTGACCTCCTCCTCCTCCGGCGAACTCCTCCGGCAGCACGAGGGCGACTTCTCGTTCCGGGAGGCGTGGTACCACCTGTCGGACGACGGGTTCCCCATCAAGCACGACGCGGACCGCCTCCCGCCGCCGCTCGTCGCCGACCTCAACGGCGACGGCCGCCGCGAGGTGCTCCTCCCCACCCACGACGCCAAGATCCAGGTCCTCCAGCTCCCCACCCACCCCAGGCTCGCCACCACCACCCTCGACGGCTTCCACGAGGCGCGCGTCATGGCCGAGATCTCCCTGCTCCCGGCCAACGTGCGCGTCGCCGCCGGCCGCCGCCCCGTCGCCATGGCCGTCGGCGCCGTCGACCGCTCCTACAAGCACGCCGAGGTCCGCAAGCAGGTGCTCGTCGTCGTCACCTCCGGATGGGCCGTCATGTGCTTCGACCACAACCTCAAGAAGCTCTGGGAGACGAGCCTCGGGGACGACTTCCCCCACGCCGCGCACCACCGCGAGGTCGCCGTCTCCGTCACCAACTACACGCTCAAGCACGGCGACGCCGGCCTCGTCATCGTCGGCGGGAGGATGGAGATGCAGCACCATGTATGTAATGCTATCACCATCATTCTCTGCTTCTGCCTGCATTCCCTTGGTTAAAATCATTCAGCAAAAATGTGTAACCTGTTGATCAGTCCGCAGATCTCTTCGACGACTTCATGACCTCCGAACACGGCAGGGAAGAGCACCGCAGAAGCGCCAGCGAGAAACAGGTTATTTATTTCCTGGAGCTCATCTTTTAGCCTGTACTACTGTCCTATTTCATCCCTCAACTTGGTAGAAACTTAAGCTGTTTTGGTGTTGCGCTTTTATGTACATCCTGCAGGCTTCAGAGGCTGGCAACGTAGACGTGCGTCATTTTGCGCTTTATGCCTTCTCTGGCCGCACCGGTGCGTTAAGATGGAGCCGGAAGAATGAGGTATGCCCCATGTTTAGGAAATTTATTTCATGTACCATAAATGGATTTAACATCACTGTCTCTTGTCATATGGCATCAACACTTCTGTGTGCGTGCTCTCTGTTCCAATTTAGCATGTGAATAAGCTATGGACAAAGGTCTGACTCATATTATTGTTATGATTTTCTCTTCACATGGCAGAACATCCAGGCACAGCCAACAGATGCTTCGGCGATGATACCACAACATAATTACAAGCTTGATGTTCACGCCCTTAATAGCCGTCATCCTGGTGAGGTGAGAATTATGTCCACCACTTCTTGTAATGAAAAATAATCTGCAGTGGTCATATTCACATTTAACCAACTCTTATGCTCTGTCACTACTTGTTCTTCGTTAGCTTGATTTAATTATCATGATCATCATCTTGGATAGGTAGCAACGTTTTGGACAGTGTCAGTATTCCCTCTGATATTTACGAGGGTGATTTGCTTGTACTCATACTCTACAAATAATATATTATGGACATCCATTTGTTCCACTTTAGCAACTATAAGTCTCCATCGTGCTCTGCTGCTGCCAATATTTCGCCAACCCAAAAATTGATTATGTTTCGATGAGGGAGGTGGCCTACATAGCAATCTTCATGCCGATTTATGAAAATTGCTAAAAGAAAAGGCTAATTAAATTCTGGTTCTCCTTCACGATATGATATGGATATGACCATGGAGGTGATATGTGTGTTTATATAGTAGTATTATTTTGCTTATGGGAACCTAATGTCTCATATCATTTGGCAGTATGAATGCCGGCAATTCAGAGAATCAATTCTTGGCGTCATGCCTCACCATTGGGTAAGACTAAAATATCTGTTATCTTGTATTTCAGTTTTAGTATTTTGGGTACTTAACTCTGATCTGAATTTCATTCTTTTTCAGGATAGGAGAGAGGATACTTTTCTACAACTTGCACATTTTAGGAAGCATAAAAGGAAAGAATTAAAGAAAACACAAGGAAAAAACGTTGTTAATAACGTGCACAAGCCTGCTGAACACAATCCACTCGGAAAGGATGATACTAATAGAATATCCAAAGTGATTGGGAAAGCTGCAGATCTGGCTGGCTCAGCTAAAGGCAAAAAGGTATATGATCTATATATCTCTGTTAAAATTCGAGATGCACCTACCTTTGTGTTTGTCGCAAGTCGGCAACAAGTGCAGTTATCTTGAAGTCTGCATAGTGTGGGTGTGTGTTCGAGTGTAGGAGTGCAAATGGGCACCCTTTAGGGTATTCTCTGGCCCTCTTCAGTTCAACTAAATGAACTAAATTTTCAGAAGTCGCATAACTTTTGTAAATTCAGTTCATTTGGTTGAACTAAGGAGGGTCAGAGGGTACTCTGAGGGTCACAAAGTTGCATCCCTACTCAAGTGACTATTCTGGTTCTAGGTATCAACAGTAGGTTGCAAATCGCTTAGGGAGTGCCTGTAGAGCTTATTGTTCGTGCCTATTTATGGTCAAATTAGAAATATTTGGCATCCACCATTTCACTGGCACAAGTGGCACATGAGTCTAAACTGATGGCCTGATGCTATTATCTCTGTGATTAGTTTTGTTGGGATGAAGCCTAGTTAGTAGTTAATGTGCTTCATCTTCATGTGTTCTCCGTAGTATTATAGCCTTCGCCTTAGGATGTATCCAATGCTGTTGCCATCTAATTTTTCCTAATCAATTTTTGAATGACAAATCTTCTATCTGCATAATGTGGTCTGTTTTGCAATTTGTGATAGCTAGTACATATTCATGCACTTCAGTTTGTACTTTTCTCAAACAAAGTTATAACAAAATCTACTGTGTATACCTTTTTAGGGAGCCCTATACAGGTTAGTTCATGTTTATTTTATGATCAAATTTGAGATATGCGTACAGTGAGTATTTCTGTTTGGCATCTGCCATTCCCTTGCTCAGTGGTGAAAGACTCTAAACCGGTGGCTTGATGCTACTATCTCTGTGATTAATTTTGTTGGGAACTTGGGATCAATACTATAGTTAGTAGTTAATGTACTTATCTTCATGTGTTCTCCATAGTATTGTGGCCTTCGCCTCCAGGATGTATCTAATGCTGTAACCATCTAGTTTTTTCAACTCATTTATTTTTTAATTGCATATCTTCTATCTGCACCCAAATTTTGTACTTTTCTCAAACAAAGTTACAGTGCTCAAGCGTCAAAGTTCTAACCTGTATTGCACCCTTTATACTGATATGTAACATCTTGCTTCTATTGCAGTCTCTGCACACAGTTTATATTCCTACAATCACTAATTATACTCAAGTTTGGTGGGTTCCCAATGTTGTTGTTGCACATGAAAAGGAAGGGATAGAGGCTATTCATCTAGCTTCTGGACGTACGCTTTGCAAGGTACAAGATGCATCTCAGTGATTTTATTGTTGTTTGCACTCTGCCATTCTTACATATTAGCTCATTTAGCTTTTTTAAGAACCAATCATGCTTTCTAAAATGAATCTATGATTGTTTTTACGCTCTACATGTTTATTACTTAATTTTTAATAGGGACGTATTGGCTGATTGCCTTTATTTTACATGGCAATAGCTGTTGGTAAAATGCATGGCATCGTTTATGGACATTAAACCATCATTTTTAAATCCAATTGAATGTTTGATAGATCAGTCTGTGGTTGTACACTTGTACTGTATCTAATGTATACATTATGAGTTTCTTGAGCAGCCCAGTTCCTTCTAAGGGAGTCATAATTCATGTGTATTGATACTTTTTTTGTTCCTGTAACAAAATCTTATAGTTAATCATCTCTGATTGTTTTTGTGATTACCATGTTCAGCTTCATTTGACAGAAGGAGGCCTTCATGCAGATATTAATGGAGATGGAGTTCTTGATCATGTTCAGGTGTGTTGAAATGTCAAAATTAGAGCTGCAATTTACTTTTTTTTCATCTGTACCACAATTTTTGGGTCAGGAGAATACTTTTCAGGTCTCTGCTGCTCGTATTTTATGTCCGTAATTTTGAGCAGTACTACAGATTCGTTTCTCGACTATTGTCACAAGGTTTTATGATGTACTGTAACTCCTCTTGGGCCTTTTCGATCATTAAACATATTAGTTCAAATGGTCTATAGGACTTTCTGTTAGTTTCTTTTCTCTGTAGAGATTGAACTTTCTGCTGAAAGAGGAACATACATGATACTGAACTTGTTCTATCTGTCCTGTTATTTAATGCGGTTTTGCTATCTGTTTGTCCTAAGTAAGTAGTAAGTTCCATTTCACGAAATTATGCATTGTCTTGTCATAAATGATCGCCAAAATGTAGGCAATACTTGCCCGACTAAATGAATTCCTTTCGACAGTTCAAAATTTCGAATCTTTCTGAAACAATATCAAATTTTCTCGAACTCTTTCACCTTAGTTCTTGTATGCGTTACTCCTCATCTCGTGAGATGGCAATTACCTTCGCTCCAGTTCTCCTAGTGAATTCATGCGTGCCATATATGAGTATATCACTTCTTTGCCAGGCCCAATGTTTTTTTCTTGTGTGTTAAGCATCGTTATAAAAAATTTCTGTTCATTCTTTGTAGGTTGTCGGTGGAAATGGTGCTGAGCAAACTGTTGTTAGCGGGTCCATGGAGGTGCTGAAACCCTGTTGGGCAGTTGCTACATCCGGTGTACCAGTGCGGGAGCAACTTTTCAATGTTTCTATCTGCCATTACAACCATCTCAACCTGTTCCATCATGGTGACTTCTCAAGAAGTTTTGGGAGGTCATTTGATCCATCTGGCTTAGAGGTGGCAACCCCAGTTCTGCTCGAGAGGGATGATGGTCATAAACACAGAAGAGGAAGTCATGGCGATATCATCTTTCTAACAAGCAGGGGCGAGGTCAGTATATATTTTTTAGCGATTTTTAGATGCATCAAGTCAGATGACACTCGCTTTTCTGATAACTGTCCTGACATGTCTGTTTGTCATTGTAGGTGACCTCGTACACCCCAGGCCTACTTGGTCACGATGCGATGTGGAGATGGCAGCTATCGACGGGCGCGACATGGTCCAACCTCCCATCTCCATCAGGGATGATGGAGAACGTCGTGGTTCCTACTCTCAAGACCTTCTCCCTGAGAGCCTATGACCCAAAGCAGGTGATCATTGCGGGCGGAGACCAGGAGGCCGTGGTGATTTCTCCTGATGGTAGCCTGCTGACGTCCATTGACCTCCCCGCGCCTTCGACCCACGCGCTGATCCTCGAGGATTTCTCCGGCGACGGTCTGACCGACGTCATCCTGGTGACGTCCGGGGGAGTGTACGGGTTTGTGCAGACGAGGCAGCCCGGGGCCCTCTTCTTCAGCACGCTCGTCGGCTTCTTGATTGTCGTGATCGGGGTGATCTTTGTCTCTCTGCACCTCAACTCGTCGAACGGTGCTAAACCGAGGTCGACCGGCCAAAGATGACTGCTACGATCCCAGCCGGATTCTGCCGGGAGGATCTTGCGAGCATCCCCAGCACAGCAGTGAGGGGCTGTTACAGTGTTTGAACCAGACTTTTTACTATAGTTAGCTGGAGATGCTTAACTTGTGTAAACTTTGCACAACTTTTGTATGTACTTTTAGTGGTGAAGTTTTGTTTGTTGTATGATACGACGAAGCTCCTACATGACATGAATATAGTTCTATTACTAAAGATCATCGATTCATATAATCCTTGTTATGCTAGTTTAAGAAAAAGCAGTATCCATCTTTTGTTTTCAGATATGCAAGGAACTAATTATTCTGGCTATTACCATTGTTTACCTTACAGTAGAAAGACTATGGGCTATTCCCGAATTACTTGTCGCACAAAAGGATAGAAAAATCTATTTAGTTACTAAATATACGTCGAAATACATCCATTTATTCAACAAGTAATTCAGGACAGATGAAGTATTTAGTTAGAGAGGTAGTACATAGTTAGGTGTGAATCCTAAGGATTTTGTGCTATGGGGATGGTTTGACATTTTTTCGAAGGACTCAATTGCACTCTATTTTGGATAGAATTTTTTATCCGTCGGGCCTCTTGTTACAATTCATTTTCTCTTCATGTTGCGGCATACACTCCATGATGTACTTTTTTCCAATCCACCCATGGATTTTTATTTATGTACCATATATACAACTGTGTTTCTAGTCAACCGATTTTCGGCATGTCAACTAATATGGAAGCACGTTTGTAAACCAAAAAAAAAAATGTAAACAATTTTGTCAAAATGGAACTATCCAACCATAACTCAAGGAAAAAAGGAATTCACTTTTGAACCAAACTATGCACATTGGAGGTGGAGGGAGGCGCGACACAGAAAAAGAAAAGGTGCGGCACCGCCGCATACTCCTATCCATTTATCTTTTATGGACTGGAATTTGATTGCTTCCATACACCCCTCCAACAAATGGAGATCCAAATCATCTGTTATCAAAACTATCAGGAACCAGCCCTAAAACAGCCATCAGCAACCAGTGGCGGAGCTACCCGGAGATTGTTGGGCGGGCCAAGGCAGCCCAACCTGAAGGAAACACACACTATCTAAATACATGATGAATGTTTTATGCGCATGAATGTTATTACTTTTCTGCTCCTGTAATACTCTCTCCATTCTACGATGTAGTGCATATATAGATTTTTTTAAGATCAAACCTTGGTATTTTTTTACCTAGTTTATGGAGAAAACTGTTTATATGTACAATATCAATATATAAAATATAAAAATTATATAATTATGTGAACTATTTATGTCTACAATACTAAATATATATACTTTGCCAACTATATTTTCTGCATATATAAACTCTGGTTATTTTTTTAAGCATGTCATTTTTTTTATATTTTGAAAATTTATTTTTTTAAATGTGTATTGCGTTGCACCACTCGTTTGGATGATTTTTTCTAATGATTGGATTACATTTCCTTATATTAGGCAAGCTCCTCTATTTTCTCATGTCAATTAGTCAGGTGTAATCTCCCCCAGAACTTGTGAAATTTTCCCTCCACATGCGTTCTTTAATTTCCGTGCCAAAAACTATACACCCTATATTTAGGAATGGAGGGAGTATAATTTTTTATTTTTTTCAAAATTTATTTTCCTCTCGTTGTCGAAAAAGTTGTCAGGCGGCACGATCAACGGGCCGTTGCTCCCATCCAACCTGCGCAGATATGCCCCGCCCCGCTTGTACCTGTCAAGGGCCATCATCAGAAGAATCGACAACAACATATGTTTAGTTGCATGTTCATTCTATGTAGAACCAAGGGAGGCACATATACCGCTGCTTTAGCTATTCGCTACACCGAATGTAAGTTTAGCATAATATAAAAGTTTAATTCCCACTTATATACAGTAAAAAAACAGACACAAATATCGGTTCCAAAGTTCGCTAGACCAGGCGGGCGAGGGTCTCGTAATAAGTGTGGGCAAAACAGTCCGAAACTACATAGTAGTAATAGAAGCGCAACACGACTTTGTGTGATCATAACTAAGATTGAAAACTGCCCAAATTTGAACATTGATCAAAGATGTCTAACAAAAACAATGTACTACTACACAAGGAAGGAGTAAAGGAGAAAAACGAACATTTGGCCATGATGATGCATGGTAGGTATGTAGGGTTTGAGAGTTGCATTTGTTTTCTTGTCCTTTTTTCACCCCTGTCCTGGGCCAAGCCCAAGCCCAAGCCCAGCCCGTTTGAGAGCAGCCCAAATGTATGTATAGAGTGAGACGAGAGGAAGACCTAACCAACCTAGCTCAGCCGCCACAGACTCCACTCCTCTTCCACTCCCAGCCGCCGGCGCCGCCATCTCTCCCAGCCGCTGCCGCCGGCGCCGGCGACCATGGCGGATGCAGCAGATCTCCTCCCGGGCCTCCCTAACGACATCGCCATCTGGGAGATCCTCATCCGCCTGCCCCCGAAACCCCTCCTCCGCAGCCGCGCCGTCAGCCCGGCGTGGCGCCGCGCCACCTCCCGCCGCGACTTTCTCCTCTCCCACCACGCCCGCCAGCCCGCCCTCCAACTCCTCGAGAGCTACAGCGACGACGACGACGACGACGACGACGACGACGGTTCCTTGTTCCTGAAAATCGTCACCTTCGACCACCGAGCCGCCGCCGCCGGCCGGTTACAGCCCGTCGTGCGACTCAAAATGCCTCCCTCCGAGGCCGTCACTCCCCGCATGTATCCGGCGGCCTCCCGCGACGGCCTCCTCTATGGGTACCTCTCGGGATGCCGCCGCGACCTCTGCATCTGCATCTGCAACCCGGCAACTCGGCAGTACGCTCCCCTCCACCACCTCAAGGGATTCAGACCTCTGGGCACACCCCCTCTACGGGCGGCGACTACCGCCTCTTGCTGTACCGATTGGCTGAACATGGCGCCCACATTTTCACATTAGGCTCTGCCGAGCCGCCAAGGCGCATACCGTGCCCTCGTCCGCTCTTCCTGGGACATAGCGCCGGAATCCTATTCCGAGGCAGCATATACTGGTACACGCACAGGGGAATACTGATATTCGACACCACCAATGAGTCCTTCAGGCGTATCCGCGCCCCGCCTGCTAGTCACGACGCTCGGGTGTTTCTGATGGGTGACATGCTCGCCCTCTTCGGTCCTAATGATCAAGGCACAGCCATTGATATCTGGGTGATGCCCAACCGCCAACAAGAGGTCTGGGATTTCAAGTGTCGGGTTAAATTGCCCGTTGCGGAGACTAGGCAGCAGTGTCAGTGTTCCGAGCATGAACAGGTTGTCATGGTTGTGCCTGGAGACGACGGTGGGTTGCTCATTCTCATCAGCTGTGACCCGTGGCTGTTTCAGGTTGATACCGATGGCAACTTGATTGCCAGTTTCATGAAATACATCTAGCGTAGGAGCAAAGACAGGAGCATAACTATAGAATGAATACATGGAGATAACAGAAAGAGTAGAAAAAATGGTACAACAATAAGCTGCATATTGAGATCTACTCCTACCAAAAAATTGCCAGTCAAAGATTTCATTTTAAAAAATAGCACAAACAACTCCTAGGAAGCTCTAACTGAGTAATACGTATGATTTTACACGATTGAGATCCCCTTACACTATTACTTTTGGCGGTACTAACTTCCTGGTTCACTTCTAACATTTTAGCCAGTGAAATATGAAGATATTCTGGGTAAGCATATATACTATACCTGCAAATGTCTCTGCCATGTGGGAACGTTCTTGTAGTTTAACCGAGAGGTGACATCGAACATGATGATTGATGATTTGCGCAGGCCATGGATGCTGAAAAACAGTAGGAAATAGTAAGAATCCACTCTGTCAATGTGCACAAGCCAAAAAAAAAGGTAGCAACACAATTTTCTTTTAAAACGACAGCACAAGATATGAACCATTGCTTTGCTGAAAATGACAAATTCACAACAATTAACAAGAGACCCTATAGTCTTACTTAATAGTCCTAGTACCAACCCAAATACAACTATAAATTACTAATGATCCATGCAAAACTAAAAGTCGAAAAACTGCAGGTTGGATAGTTCTGTACTGAATGCACATGACATAGTGTTGAAGTTCACAATGGTAAAGCGCAAGGACAACAAGGTTTCCAGTAAAATCTAACAAGCACATAAGACCAAGAAATGCTTAGAAGCCATCAACATGCTCCATGTGTCCACCACAAAGTACAGTAACATGGTGCTAAGCTAAGGTTAAACCTGGTCAGAATCTCTACAGCCAAAAGCAGACGAATCTAAAGCAACCATCCAAATACAGCGATCAGGTGAGCTTTTACACAATCCTCAAACCCACGATGGCACTTGCAATCAAGAGCACTACCAGGATTCTATTCTACACTAATCATCCATGGATGGAAAACGACGGCTAATTAAGATAGTTGCGAGTCATAGAGGAATGAATGGACGATGGACTCACCACCGGGCTGCAGTGTGACGACTCCTCAATAGCCGGCGCCGGCGTAAGGTCGGATCTGACAAGTCACGCGAGGAAAATGGCACCCTCCGCCGGTGCTCTGCATCTACCCCAACACCTGTGTGACCCGTACCAACGGCATCGCCTCCCGTCTACTGACGACTTGCATCTCCACTCCCACCTCATCCCCGTCCTCTGCGGGCTTCAGATCTACGCAGACGGCATCGTGGGGTGGGGGCAGCGCGACCTAGTGTTTGTCCTTGTGGGCGAGGGCGGGGAGCTGAGGGAGGTTGCGCTAGTTTGTGGCTGCGCTAGAGGCGCCGACGGTGGCGGCACTCATAGAATCCTATAGATGGATGAACCCAAAGAAGCTGCTTACCTCCAACTTTAACCAGATCAGGCGATGGCGAAGACAGCACGGACTGCTCAACCTCCTCGTCCTTGTCTTTGACGCCACACGACGAGGTAGGACGATGGCAGCATAGACTGCTGGACCTCCTTGTCGCTCTCTCCGGCGCTGC